ATGAACAAAACCCAAGCTGCTTTTCATGTTATATATTCATCAATAGGTCAGTGTTTGCATCTGTGATTTTAAACAATTAAAAGTAAAACTTTCTGTGCATCCCTAGATGTCTCAGGGGCTAGGAACGCTACCTAGTGTGCTGACCGATAAGTGGGTCCTGGCAGGTGACAATCCTGTAGGTGCCCAGACAAGGCTGCAGACACTAAATGCCTTCTGCTGTCTTTTCCAGGATGACTTCACCTCGTGGTTCTCTTTCAGCTCCTAGTTTCAGCTGAAGTGGTCCATGGGAAAGAGGAAGCTGACCCTGAGCAGAGGGTCCTGACAGTCACCCTTGACCCAAATCCCTGCCTTCACAGCACCGTGCCTGCCATCGCAGGTCCCTGCAGAGGGCAGGGGGCAGGGGCTGAATCCTTCCCCTTGTCCCTGTGAGAGGGACAGGTGGTGGGTCATTGAGGGGCATGACTCCATGTCCCCAGTCTGCCATTTTTTGAGTAGGAGGTCCTTGATGGAATGACGTAGCCCATGGGTCTCATTCTCCTCATCAACTGGGCAGTCAGAGAGCTGGTTGATATTCCCCAATATTTGGGGCACTATTTCAGACAGTGGTCCACTTTCATTTCCTTGGTGTCTCATGGATAGGAAGGATGTCTGGGGAGAGAAAAGGGCTGATGTCCATGGAGGATCATGGCTTACTCCCTGAGTTTATCGGGGTAATGGGTGCATGAGTGTTCCTCAAGAACCAGATGTGGAGTCAGGGGCTAACCTGCCTGGGCACTAGGGCTGTGCGGTCTTTCCTGAGAAGACCTCTGCTCTGACAGGCTGTGAAGACAAACCAGGGAAGTCAGATGCTGGAGGCAAGGACAGCACACCCCCATCCAGGGAGTTGCAGTCTGAAGTCCTGAAAGGGGACACTCCATGGACCCAGGGAAGGATATGCAAGGGGAGTTTACTCCAAAGTCTGAAGAAACGCAAAGGTGCAGAGGCAGGAGAGCAGAGCGAAGATTTCAGGGGGACCTGACACCCAGTAACCGTGGGTATTGCTGCCTATTTTCTACTGTTATCACCTTCTTTTCCAACTCTGACTTGGGAAAATGATACAGGTTGACGAAGATGCCACTGGGGCAACACCTGGACTGTAACACCAGGTTGCACAGAAGCCCCTCTCTCCTTCCTTCTCCAAGGCTGAGTGTGCAACCAGTGCATCTGTCCAGGCTGTCACATTCTGAGGTGCCCCATCCGATTGCCCGGAGTCCCATAGATCAAAGAAAGCCAAGAGGTAACCCAGGCTTTCGATCACAGGGCCATTCCATGGGAGACTGAATTAGAATTGGCATCATGGTCTCTAGGCCGCTCTAACATATTGGCTCATTCATTTTCCCAGCTGGGCCCCTTCCTCGTCCCACACCGGCCACTCCATTCTGGTGTCTCAACCTGAGCCCTGGAGAGTGAGTACGTTGGGGACAAGTCAGAAGAGACTACATGAGACTGTGGGAGCCGACATGGTAAGTTGCTGTTTCTCTGGTTCGATTTCAGCCTGATTCTCAGGAGGTCACAGTGAGGAGGCAGAGAGGGTGTAGGACACAGCCTGGTCCCTCCGTCTCCTGGAGGACTCAACCCTCCTGAGCAACCCTGCCCATGAAAGTCCCCATGGGGCCCAGGAGATGCCAAGATATTGTCAGGGAGATGGAGAAACCACTACTTCACCTTCCACAGGGGGCAGACCTCACCCACTGCCCAGCAATCCCCTGAGGCAAGAGCGGGGCCTGAGGCAAGTCCAGCTCACACCCTGGCCGGGGGCAGGGATGGGGCAGGTGGGGAAGGCTCCTGCTTGAGCAATTGCATCAGGCCCAGGCTGAGCATAAAGGAGGGTCCTGTGGGCTGGGACGAGGCAGACTCGGGGACCATGGAAACCCAGAGGGCCAGCCTCTCCCTGCGCCGCTGGTCACTGTGGCTACTGCTGCTGGGACTAGCGGTGCCTTGGGCCAGTGCCCAGGCCCTGAGCTATAGGGAGGCGGTGCTTCGAGCTGTGGATCGCCTCAATGAGCAGTCCTCAGACCCCAATCTCTACCGCCTCCTGGAGCTGGACCTGCCGCCCAAGGCTGTGAGTCGGGGAGGGGCTGGGGAGGGAGGCGTCTCCCGCCAGGCTTGGCCACACTGTCCCTCCCTTTGCTCGCGCTGTACCTCCTGTCAGGAAGGCACCTCTCCCTCTAAGTGGGATCCCACCTCTCACAGAAATCCTCCTAGAGCTGGGTCCCCTCCCGTTCTGAGAGCCTTCTGCCTGGCATCTCTGCTGTGGGAACAGAGCCCTGACAGCTCGCTCAGGCTCCAGGGCCTCCTGGGGGCTCCAGGGATACAGTTGGGTCACTGGCTCTTGGGTGTGACTTCCCTGCTTCCAGTCCCCTGTGCACCCCATTGTCTCCCAATTAGGGAAGGGCTGTGCTCAGCCTGGATGTTCCAGTGACAAGGTCTTCCCCTGCAGGTGTCCCCTGACTTCCCTCACTCGTCTAAGGGGGAGCTGCCCCTCAGGAGAGCGGGTCTGAGGTCCCCTCCTGCTCCCTGTGTCCCTTGGAGCCCAGGACCAGGCTGTGTCCTCCTCCCTTCTGCACCCAGCCCGCAGTCCAGGGCCAGGCACATGGGAGGGGTTGTCAAGGGGGCTGTCCTGCTGGGGGCAGGGAGATAGGTCATCAAGGAAGTATGAGCCTGAGCCAGTCTCCCCACTTTGATCCTTGAGCAGGACCAGGACCCAGATGCCCCAAAGCCTGTGAGCTTCACGGTGAAGGAGACCGTGTGTCCCAGGAGGACACAGCAGCCACCTGAGCAGTGTGCCTTCAAGAAGAATGGGGTGAGGCTGGGGGCACTGGCGGATGCCTCCCAAGGACCTGAATAGGAGTGTCCAAAGAAGCCTTGCAGCCCCTGGGGTGAGGCTGGGTGGTTGTGGTTCAGGGCTTCCAGTCTGACCTGGAGTCTCCCCTTCTAGCTGGTGAAACAGTGTGTGGGGACAGTCACTCTGGACCAGTCCAAGGACCAACAGGACATCACCTGTGATAAGGTTAATGACTCCTTCTGGGCTGTAGGGGCTGCTTGTAGGAGTGGGGTGTGGAACATCTTTTGGACCAATTCCCTTCTGTGCCATCACTTTAAGGGGGGAAATTCCTCCTCCCCTGGCTCCCCCTCACCAGAGCCCCAGGTCTCCAGGCTGGGCTCTGGTATCCCTTATAGCAGTGGTTCTCTCAGTGTCCTCCCCACTTGGAAACTAGAGAAAACGGCTGATTCTCTGGCCCCAGTGAGATCTACCCAATTAGTTGGAGGTGGGTGCCAGCAATTCTTATTTTAAGGCTTCCTGGGCATCCTGACTACTTGAACGACACTGACTAGAGTAATGGACTTTCTGCCCCTGCTCCCATCCAGCTTTGCTGGGATGGGCTTGTGCCCCTGGGAAGGCCCTTATCATCTCTGGAACCAGTGTCCTCATCTGTGCGTGGGTGAGGTGATATGCTCCTAATGTCACAGGCAGAGGTGAACTGGGGACCCAAGTTTCCTGGAGTCCACCTGGAAAGTGGTTCAGTGTAGAGAGAAGGGCCTTGTGATTGTGGCCCAGTTAGTACAAGAAAACTTTCTTTTGATCCACAGGCCCGGAGATCTCGCCCGCTACCCTTTCTATCGCCGAGGATACCACGGCAGAGTTTCCCTCCGCCAAATTTCCCTCCGCCAAATTTCCCTCCTCCTGAGTTTCCTCCACCAAATTTCCCTCCGCCAAATTTCCCTCCTCCTCGGTTTCCTCCGCCAAATTTCCCTCCGCCAAATTTCCCTCCTCCTGAGTTTCCTCTGCAAAATTTCCCCCCACCCATCTAATTACCCCTGCCAAATTTGCATTCCCATCCAGCCCTCCAAGATTTGCTACAAGAAGGTGAAAGATTTACAGATAACTCGTGTATAAGGGCATTTAGCGAATCAGAAGCCCGGGGAGACTCCTAAGGGTCTGCTTTGCCCTGGGTCAGGATTTGAAGAATAAATTCCTGTGAAAACACTTTGCTCCAGGCTTCAGTTTTACTTTTCTCCCCTCCTCCGACTTACCAGGACCAAGTACTTAACTGTGGCAGGCCGTGGGCGCTCGCGCCTGCGTGCGTGTGTGCATGTGCGTGCGTGTTTTCATGAGGTGGGAAGCCCATGAGAAAGACGGTAAGACCCCCAGGTAGGGGCACTACCCTCCTGCCAGCACAATTCAGTTCCCTGGCCCAGTGGAATTATCTCGCTTTTTGAACTATGAAATGGCTTACTTCTAGGAACGGAACTTACCCGTTAGATTCCACTGGTTCTCTGAGCTAACTCCTGATTGATCCATTTCTCTCATTCCTGA